CATCCCTGCCTTCCTTCCCTGCATCCCTGCCTTCCTCCCCTGCATCCCTGCCTTCCTTTCCTCCATCCCTGCCTTCCTTCCCATGTCCCTTCCTTCCCACGTCCCTCCCTCCCTGCATCCCACACCTTCCCAGCTCAAGGAAACCAGCCCCTCTTCCTGCCCAGGCGTCTCCCAGAATGCCACGACTTCCTAAATTCCCCAAATCCTTCGGAAATCCCTCCGGGCCCCCCTCCATGATTGGAAGGGGGATCCCCTCACCCCCCACCACAGCAGAAGCAGATCCCCACTCCCAGCCCCACTCCCAGCCCCATTCCCGGCCCCATTCCCGGCCGGATCCGTACCTGGGTGGTGCATCCCGCCGGGTGGGAAGGGGTGTGGGTGGGGTGGGTGCCCTCCTGCCGGGGCAGCCCCCGAGGGGGGTCCAGGGGCTCCAGCACCCGGTGGCATCGGCGGGGGGGGCATGGCCGGGGGCATCCCGGGGGGCAGCGCCCCGGGCGGCGGCACCGGCGGCGGGAACGAGCCGGGAGGAGGCAGGCCTGGAATACACAGAGTGAAATTTGGGAAAGGGGAAACCCCCCCCAGCCAGAAAAACAAAGGGAAGGGTGGTGAAGTCACCCCAAACCCCCCACATAACCATGACCCCCCACAGTGTCACTGTCACCCTCCTCATGTGACCGTGACCCCTCCCAGGATCCCCAGCCCCACATCTCACCCACCTGGGGGGGTGACCCCTGGGCCCCAGAGTGGGGTGTCACCGTGACCCCCCCAATGTCACCGTCACCCCCCTCCGTGTGACTGTGACTCCCCCAATGTCACTGTCACCCCTCTCATGTGACCGTGACCCCCTCAGGACCCCCAGCCCCGCATCTCACCCACCTGGGGGGGTGACCCCTGGGCCCCAGGGTGGGGTGTCACCTCAACCCCCCCAATGTCACTATCACCCCCCTCATGTGACCGTGACCCCCTCCCAGGACCCCCAGCCCCGCATCTCACCCACCTGGGGGGGTGACGCCGGGCCCCAGCGCGGTGACCACGGGCGTGGGCACCGAGGGGGGCGGGGGGGCGTCGGCGAAGAGCTGGTGGGGGCGGTCGGCCTGCGAGAGCGGGTTCTGCGCCGCCAGCAGCCGCTCGGCGGCCGAGCCGTGCCGCTCGCCCTTGGAGTCCTTCTTGAAGGCGTAGGACACGGTGATGGGCCGGTTGCACAGGTACTGCCCGTTCATGGCCTCGATGGCCGCGTCCGACGCGTCGAAGCTGGCGAAGTTGATGAAGGCGTAGCCCTTGGAGTTGCCCGTGTCGGGGTCCCGCATGATCTTGGGGGTCTGCAGGATGACCCCGAAGGCGCTGAAGGTGTCGTAGAGCAGCTTCTCGTCGATCTCGGGGTCCAGGTTGCCGATGAAGATGTTGGCGCCCACGTCCAGGTTCTTGTTGTGGGCGGAGGCCTTGTTCACTCGGATGGGTTTCCCGTAGAGCTTGATCATGTTCATGATCTTGATGGCGTAGTCGGCGTCCTCCTCGCTCAGGAACTCCACGAACCCGTACCCTGGGGGACCCCAAAGGGCTCAGGGGCACCCCAGGGGGCTCGGGGGGAACCCAATGGGTCTTCAGGAGAGGGGAGACGCCCCCACCCTCCACTTGATCTAAACCTCGATTGACTCAAAACCCCATTTAATTATGGATTGGAACTCCCTCGATTTGATTTTGGCCCCACGTGACATTTCATTCAATGCCTGCTTGATCTAAACCCTGGGCCCCAAACACCCCCTTAAGATAATTCCCCCCTCTCCCCACCCCAATTCCACCCCCGGCTCTGCCCCCTGCTCAGGTCTGGGGGTCCCAGCCCCTCACCCTGCTGCTGGCCCGTGTCCCCCCACCCCCGGCTCTGCCCCCCCTTGGGATTTGCGGGGTCCCCGTCGGGATCTGGGGGGTCTCTCACCCTGGTGCTGGCCCGTGACCCGGTCCTTGGGCATGTGCGTGTTGACCACGGGCCCGGCCTGCAGGAAGAGCTCCCAGAGCAGGGGCTCGCTGACCTTCTCGTCCAGGCCCCCCACGTACACCGTGGCATCTGTGGGAATGCAGGTCAGAGCCGGAAAACCTCGGGATAACGGGGGGCTCGGGGCTGGGATCCCTCAAGTCAAAGCCCCCCCCAAACCTTCACCAGATCCCCCTTAATCCGCCTTTATCCAGGCGGCCCCCCCCAGCCCCCCCTTTTCCCTCGGGACACCAGACCGCCCCCCCTATGTCCCCAGAGCCCCCCGGTGCCCTTCCCTCCACGTCCCCAGGGTCCTCCCGGTGCCTCCCCCCACGGTCCCAGTGCCCCCCGTCCCCCTCCCCTTCCCACCCTGGTTCCTCTCCGAGATCGGCCCCGCCGCCATCTTGTCTCGGTCCCGCGCGCGCGGCGACGCACGCCCGTGACGTCACCGCGTCGCCCGCGGGGAGGCGGGCCGGAAGTGGCGTCCGGCGGGGAAGGCGCGGCGGCCATTTTGGGTGTGGGCGGGAGGGGCGGCCGGGGGATAGTGCTCTTCCCGTCTGTCGCGATATCGCCCGCGACAGGCGACGGCAGCGCCCGCGTGGCCGGGAGAGAGCGCCCTCGGTGCCCGGGAGTGCTCAGTGCCAGGGGGTCCCAGTGCCAGGGGATCCCAGTGCCAAGAGATCCATCCCAGTGCCGGGGCATCCAGTGCTGGGGGGTCCCAGTGCCAGGAGATCCCAGTGCCAAGAGATCCATCCCAGTGCCAGGAGATCCCAATTCCGGGGGATCCCAGTTCCAGGGGATCCCAGTGCCAAGAGATCCCAGTTCCAGGGGATCCCAGTGCCAGGAGATCCCAGGGCTGAGGGTCCCAGTTCTGGGCTCCCGCAGTGTCCCCATCCCATTCCTATCACAGCCCATCCCCATTCCTAGTCCCATCCCATCTCTTCCAATCCCTTCCGCTCCGATCCCATCTCATCCCGGAGCTTCTCAGGCCTCGTGGAGGCAGCACAGGTTTAATGGAAAACTGGGTCCCTGCTTTGCCCTTCCTGGGACCCCCAGAATGCCCAGAGAGGAGCTGGGGGCACCGGGCGGCTCCACAAGACCCCAAATCCCAAGGGATCCTGGTGGGATCCTGGAGCCACGCTGGGTCATGTGCTCTCCAGGGGCTCAGCGGGGTCTCCACGTGTTCCAGGTGCGGAGCCGGTCCTGGAGCAGCTCCAACTCCTCGACCAGGCCGGACCAAGATGGGGCAAAGCGCCCACGCTGTGAAGACATGATGTGGATACGGGACATGGGAATGGGACAGGGACATGGGAATGGGACACGGGACAAGGACACGGGACAGGGACATGGACAGGGACATGGGGATGGGGACATGGGGATAGGGACATGGGGATGGGACAGGGACATGGACAGGGACACAGGACAAGGACATGGGATAGGGACATGGGAGCAGGGACATGGGACAGGGCAAGATGGAGGGATATGGGGTCCCCCTGACCATCCATCCATCCATCCATCCATCCATCCATCCATCCCCCCGATGGACACAGGGGACATGGATGGGGATGGATGAATGGACACGGGGTGCAGACAGGCACAACCACACAAGACCCCCCCCCCCATCCCCTCCAGCCGAAGCAGTAGGACAGGTCAGGGCCCCCCCAAAGCGAGACCCCCCTGAAGCAGGACCCTCCCAGTTCCCCCCATCCCAGTACCTGTTCCTGGGGCAGCCCCCTGAGGTAGCAGCGGTGCCAGAGCCGGACGCAGGGTCCGGCCGTGCAGGGCAGGAGCAGCCCCGGGGGGGGCCGGGAGCCCCCCGAGATGCCCCCCCGTGCCCCCCTGCTCTCCAGGGGGGGGTCCCGCTGTGGGGGGTGCAGGGGGGGGCGGCCACTCCACCAGGGCAGAGGGTGGGGGCACAACGAGCCCTTGGCCAGCGCCAGCACGGGCCCAGCCCCTCGCCACGGGCAGGGGGCTGCGGGCTGGGAAAGGGGGGAAAACAGGGATTAGGGAAAATGGGGAGAAATCCAGCAGAGGGGGAGGAATGGTGGGCAACAGGGATTAGGGGGAAAAAAAAAGGAGAGGGGAAATCAGCAGGGAGGGAAGGGAAAACGCAGGGAAATATGGATTAAGGAAAAAAGGGGAAGGAATCCATTGGGAGGGGAAAAAATGGGGGGGGGATAGGGATTAGTGAATAAAGGGAGGGAAAAACCAGCTGGACGGGAAAATGGGGGGCAAACAAGGGGTGCAGCCCCCCCCAGCCCAGCCTCACTCACCCCATCTGGGGTTGGGGGCTCGGCGGGGGCCGGGGGTCCCGCGGGGTTCCGGAATCGCTCCCGCTGCTCTCGGCTGTAGCGCAGCCCCCAGGCCCAGACCGGGGGGAAAGGGCAGGCAGAGGGGTCCCCCTTGTGCCCCCCGGGCCCCCCCGAGGGGTTCTGCCAACCACCCACCGGGCGGTAGGTCTGGCTGTGGGGCCAGGGCTGCGGGGAGAGATGGAGGGGTGTCAGTGCCCAGTTTGGGATGGGGACACTGAGGCGCCAGGGAGGAGAAGGGGTGAAACGGGAGGTTTTGGGGGTGTCCCTGCCCAGTTTGGGATGCGGGAGTGCCCCCCGCCCCCCTCACCGGGCTGCCGTGGCCCCGCTGCCGCTGGCAGCTGAAGCGGAAGGTGCTGAAGTAGGGGCTGAAGCTGCTGTCGTGGAGCGCCAGGAGAAACGCCTCGGTGAAGCCGAAATCCGCCGGGAATTGCCGCAGGAGCTGCCACGTGCAGTCCAGGAACAGCAGGAACACGGGGGCCTGCGGGGGGGCACTCCTGTCACCCCCTTGGGATGGGGTCTCACCTCCTTCTAACCATGGGGGCTCCTGGCTCCTGTCACCCCGTGGGGACAGGGAATGGGGGGTCCCACCTCCTCCTGAGGGGGGTCCTGGCTCCTATCACCCCGTGGGGATGGGGATGGGGGGGTCTCACCTCCTCACGGGGGGTGTCCCGGCAGAGCAGCCCCAGGCGGCGCGGGAAGGGGTGTCCGGCTGCCACCCACTCCCGCTGCACCAGGCTCTGGAAGCCGGGCAAGGAGCGGGCGTGGGGGTCCCCCAGGAGCTGCACCAGCGAGGCCAGCAGGCAGTTCAGGTCCCGGTCCGAGGGCTCTGGGGGGTGAGGTGGTGAGGGAGGGGTCCCCTTTCCATCCCCTGCACCCCCCTCCCGGTGCCCCCACCTTGCAGGACCACGGAGCAGCGTCTCCCTGCCAGCAGCGATACCACCTCCACAGCTTTCCTCAGGCAGGTGCTGGGGGGGGCAAAAGGGGGAGGTCAGGGTACCCCAAAATGCCACGGTCACCTGCCCGGGGAGGCTGCAGCCCACCCTGGGGGGCTCCTGCACACACCACAGCCACCTGGAGGGGGACATCCCGCTGTGGGGAGTGGGGTTTTAGGGGAATATCCCCCCTACACCCCAAAATACCTCCCTGCACCCCGAAGAGCCCCTCCTTGTCACCCACTCACCGGACGTGGTCCAGCCAGCGCGTCCCCTCCAGGGCCGAGAGCCACTTCTCCTCCACCACTGCTCCTGGATCCCACAGGATGAGGGGTCAGAAGGGGGAAGGCCCTCCTCCCCCTGGTGGGTTTGGGGGTCCCCGGGGGCCCCCCCCCGTGCTGCTCACCGGGCAGGCAGAGCGCCCGCAGCTTGAGGTGGGCGAGCTGGATGTCAGCGGGCGAGGGCAGCTCAGCCGTGTCGGCCAGAACGCAGGGCCCACGCCCCCCCAGCAGCAGCATCTCCAGGCACCTGGGGGGCAAAGGGACCCCTGGGTGGGGCCAGGCCGGGGGTGACACCCCCAGCACCCCCCTCACCAGGACCCCCTGGGACCCACCTCACGTCCTCGCTGCCCGGCTCTGAGGCCGGGTGGAAGCCGGCGGCTCTCAGCAGGTCCCCCCCACCCGGGTGGTGCCAGCACAGGCGCTGTGGGACAAACAGGGTGACCCCCCCAACATCACCTCCCAGTCCCCTGCCCACCCCCCCATGGCCCCTCTGGGCACTCACGGGCACCCGGCGCTCCTGGAAGTGGCCGAAGGTTCGCTTGAGGTCGTGGTCCAGGAGCCCACTGGGCACCCACAGGTACCGGGGGAGGCTGCGGGCAGGGGGGCACAGAGTGGGGTTCTCCCAAACCCCGGGTGCTGTTTCCAGTGGCTCAGGGGGTGTTTTCCCCAAACCACAGTGGCAGATGGAGGGGAGGGTTTCCCCACAGCCCTATGTAGCTGATCCCTCTGGGGGGGTGGGAGGTCCATGCTGTGACACCCCCCTGGGTGTTGGGGGGCCCAGAGACCCCCGTGCCCGGCGGGGCCGTACCTGGGGGCCATGTCGAAGCGCTCATTGACGACGCTCACCCTCCAGCCCGCGGCACCCAGACGCTCCAGCTCCTTCTCCCAGTCCTGCAGGCTCTCAAAGAGCAGCGTGGCACCCAGGCCTTCCTCCTCCTCATCGCCCTCCTCATCATCCTCCTCTTCCTCCAGGGGGGCCTCGGCAGGGCAGGACCATCCATCGTGTCCCTCGGCGGCATCCCCCGGCTGCGCGGCTGCTTCCCGTGCCTGGGCGATGGCATTGGCCACCTGCGAGGGCATTCAGGGTGGGGTGTGAGCCCCCCAAGCACCCCCAGAACCCAGAGTGAGGGTCCAAGACTTCTGCACTCCCTCCTCCCCCCCGGCTCACCCGGAACGCCTGCAGAGCCAACCCGTTCTCGGGGAAGTAAAAACGGAGCAGGCGGAAATCCCGGCAGAACACGGCGAGTTCCTCGGGGATGAACTTGAGGGTGGAGGTGGCCGTGAGCACCTTGGGCTTGGAGAAGCTGCTGGCTGGGGGGGCACGGGGAGGGGGAGGCTGTGAGGGCCGGTTCAGACCTGCCCAGCTCATCACAGGGGCTGAGAGCTGAGACCTTCCCAGCTCATCACACAGGGCTGAGACCTGAGACCTGCCCAGCTCATCACACAGGGCTGAGAGCTGAGACCTGCCCAGCTCATCACATGTGCCCCGCGGTGTCCTGTTACCTGCCACCAGCTCGCGGATGCAGGGCAGGGCCACCTCGTCCTCAGAGCGGAGGAGGCCGTGGGAGCCGGGGGCCTGTGGGAGAGTAGGGAGGGCTGGAAGCTGCCCCAGAGTGTCCCCCCCGATCCCAGGAAGGGTGGTGGGGATGGATCGGGGCCCTACAGCCGTCCCATATCCCTCGTTCCTTGTTCCTTGTCCCCCACACCGTCCTGCTGTGAGGAGCTCCCAGGGTGAACACGGCAGTTCCGCACTCGACCAGAGTGGGCTGGGCTGGGGCCGCGACGGAGCTGGGATGGGGTTGGGATGGAGCTGGAATGGGGCTGCGGTGGAGCTGGCAGGGGGTGTAGATGCAACCAGGATGGGGGGCAGGATGGGTTTGGAGTGAAGCTGGGATGGGGTGGGAAGGGGCTGGCCTGAAGGTCGGGGTGCTGTGGGATGGGGTCG